GAGAAAAAAAAGCATTCAAGTTGTCCCTTAAGGTTATTTTTTTATTTAAATTGGATATTCTATCCAACATGGATATAGCTTCTTTCTTTCACAGCAGCATTGGATCAGTTCAGTTGTGCAGCATTGGATCAAAACAAAATAAAGCTTTCAGTACTCGTTAGCTTACTGCTACAATTAGACACTGCGCCCTGCCCACTCTGTTGCCAGATTTGAGAGAAATAAGCAACCAGGTCTATGAAAACAAGCCTGATGTTGTGTAATTTGAAACCAAAACTAAGGCCTCAGGATGACTTTAAGACTTGAACATGGTCATTTTTGTTTTGTAACATTGAATACAAAATTTTAAAAAAAGTATTAAAAAAAAAAAAAAAAANAAAAACGAATATCTGAATAACGAAATTGAAACCCAAATAGTACTCCAACAAACGAATATTCGGATATTCGGGTACAGCCCTAAGAGAGAGACAGAGAGTCAAACACACACAGAGACACAGAGAGTCACACACACAGAGACACAGAGAGTCACACACCAGGTAGGGACGGGCTTTAAAACTAAGATTAAGACTAAGATACTTAATATTGATACAGCAGAGAACAAAAGCAGGAGGGAGGGAGATTGATGAAATCACAAAACAAGGTTTTCTGGTATTGCGGTAACATAAATGTATATTATGGTGATGTCAGACTGTTGCTGGATTGCCCTGTTAATACATGTGTGTGTGTGTCTCACTTTGAAAAGGGCAAGCAGGAGAGCAGAGGACATTTTGTTTTTGAAAAAATGTACTAAAGAAAATAATTTTGTACGAAAAAAAACATGTGGATTATAGAAATGATTGCATTTTATCTCTAAACAGTTAATTCGATTAACGAAACAAATAGACGTGCAAAAAAGCAGCTTTTTAAAAAGTGACTATTCTCCAAGCTTTAGAGCACTTCCTGTTCCAGTGTATGTTTGAGGTCCCTCTGAGGAGGCTCACCGGCTGCAGGGCGACCTCTTCTCCTTCTCCTCGCCTCCTGGCTGATGGTTCTCCTCCGGTTCCAGAAGGTTCTTCAGCGACGTCACCTGGTCCTCCACCGGGGGGGCGGCCGTCTGAGGGAAGCTGCCCTGAAACAGCTTCTCCAGCCGGATGCACAGCTGCAGAGAGACAGCAGCCGGTTACAGACATCCCACGGAGCACTTTCACATTTATCTGCTATCAGAGGACTTCAGGAAACCACTCAGAGTTGAACACCTGAAGTTCCTCCTGGGTCGTGACTAAAAAGCTGCAGCTCAGAAATGATGCCAGGAGTTCTTCCTTCCATCGTGCATCAAATCATCAGAGATTTTGGGGCAAGCATGCAAAGGTTAGTGTGATCTGTTCTGCTAATATCAGAAGCATTTCTAGATGGAGAGCTGATCATTTAAAACTACTTAATGGATCCTAGCAAGAGAAACTAAAAGCAAATACGTTCGATGTTTTGTCGCAAACCCTTACCTGCAACATCTGGCCACCTGACACAGATGTGCAAAAGACTACAAGCCGTTTTAAAGATAGACAGTAGAGATGTCCCAATCCGATCACGTGATCGGGGATCGGAGCCGATCACGTGATTTTCAAAAGATCGGAATCGGGAGGAAAAAAATCGGGGATCGGGATTATTTTTATTTATTTTTTAATACTTTTTTTTTAATTTTGTATTCAATGTTNTGCTCGCTCGCGGGAGTGTCAGCCTCACTCGTTCGCGGAGTCTGTCTGCGCGCGCGTGAAAAGTTTCTGACACTTTGATTGACGGGCTTCCTGGCAGCTGTCAATCAAAGTGTCAGAAACTTTTCACGCGCGCGCAGACAGACTCCGCGAACGAGTGAGGCTGACACTCCCGCGAGCGAGCAAGAGGGCTGTCTCTCTCTCTCTCTCTCTCGCGAGCACATAGCCGCTCATGGGGGTTTAATCTGCGCGCGAAGGTCATTTCATGCGCGTGTAAAAGCACATTTTCCACTCGTGAGTAGCTTGTTTCGCGCGCTGGAATATTAACCCAAATCTGACTCCATACTTAGTATTGGTGATGCACAGCATCAACTGTGATGGTTTTAGCATACTGTTAGCTATGGAGCCAGATTTGGGTCAATATTCTAGCGCGCAAAACAAGCTACTCACGAGCAAAAGATGTGCTTTTACACATGCACAAAATGACCCTGGCGCGCCGATTAAACGTCCTGCTCGCTCTCGGGAGTTTCATCCTCACTCGCTCGCGGGGTCTGTCTGCCGCGCGTCAAAAGTTTCTGACACCTGGGGCGGAGCCACTGGACTTTGATTGATTTGATTCCTCCGTTAGGAAACCCGGAGTTGCCAGGTTTGATCATTGCCTGAACTACCAAGAGCCGAGGAGTGACAGCAGCAAGATTAGTTGGACGAGATTTATTGATAAAGTTGTCCATAAAAAAACTATTATATTCATAAAGTGAATGTCAGCTAATGTCAATTAATTTGATATAAAACAATATATTTTTGAGTGGGCTTTATCTGTCGAAAACTGCTAGCTACTGTAAGCACCTACAATAGGTAGGAAACATGAAGGTCCAATGTTAACATGTAGAAAACAAGTTAACCTAGAAGCCGTTTTATGACAACGTTTTGTTATAATTGGCAATTTTTATTTTCAATATTCAATGAATATGTAATGATGCTTAGTGAAGTTCAAGGCTTTTATTAGTCATACGTACATAGCTACATAGCTTGACGATACAAATCTTAGGTCACAGGCACCTCCAACAGTGCAACACAATAAAACTGAAAAAACAGAAAACATTGTGCAAGTAAATACAAAAAGAAAAATAGCAAAAAAGTGAAATAGTGGAATAGTGCAATAAGAGTCTATATGCAAGTGATTTGAATATGATATATTAGATAAATAATTTCTAAATTGCAGCCAGATTAATGTTGTGGATGTTGTTTCAACAGTTCAGGTGTTTAACAGTTTAATTGCCTGTGGGATGAAACTGTTCCTGAGTCTAGTGGTTTTAATCCCGATGCTGCGGTAGTGCCTGCCAGACGGCAGCAGACTGCAGTTTGTGGCTGGGGGTCTTTTATAATCATGAGGGCTTTTTTCCTGAGCCGCTGGGAGTAAAGGTCCTCCATGGATGGCAGCTTCACCACCCTCTGTAAAGCCTTACGATTGAGGGCGGTGCAGCTGCCGTACCAGGCTGTGATGCAGCCAGTCAGGATACTCTCTATGGTGCACCTGAGGACATGCAAATATGTTTGTTGTCTACTACAAAGACAACCAATTATCTTAAATCTTAAAAGTAAATTTAGTTTTACATTGTGATGCAAAACACCCTGTTAGTGTATTAATTCATTGCTTTAAACATTTTGTTTCCTTTCATTTAAAATCGGAACCCAATTCAGAGAATCACCCAGCTAATGTTTGCTAGCTAAATAGCACACTGACAGGGTAATCATAAAATGGCCTCTAGGTTAACTTGTTTTCTACATGTTAACACTGTGGACATTCATTTTCTTCAGCAGACAGTAGCTATAGCAGTTTTCGACAGATACAGCCCACTCAAAAATATATTGTTTTATATCAAATTAATTGATATTAGCTGTACACTTTACGAATATAATAGTTTTTTTATGGACAACTTCATCAATAAATCTCGTCCAACTAATCTTGCTGCTGTCACTCCTCGGCTCTTGGTAGTTCAGGCAATGATCAAACCTGGCAACTCGGGGCTTTCTGACAGCTGTCAATCAAAGTCCAGTGGCTCCGCCCCAAAGTGTCAAACGTTTAACGCGCGCGCAGACAGACTCCGGGAGCGAGTGAGGCTGAAACTCCTGCGAGCGAGCAGGAGGGCTGTCTCTTAATCTGCGCGCCAGGGTAATTTTATGCGCGTGTAAAAGCATATTTTTCGCTCGTGAGTAGCTTGTTTTGCACCCTAGAATATTGACCCAAATCTGGCTCCATAGTTAGCTTTTTACTTCAAAATCCAATGGAGAAATCCCATTGGCTTTTTGTCGAGGGTGCCCTGGTGATGGTCACTTATTGGTCTTTTAAAAATGTCATCAACACACAATCTTTAAAAGTGAGCGGACCCACCTGTAGGAGCTGCTATGACGGAAACTCTGGCCACAGATACTACAGAGGTGAGGCTTCTCCCCACTGTGGATCCTCAAGTGCTCTCTCAACGTTGTCCTGAAAGAAGATAAGAAAGCATCTCAATAAATGCACACAGTTACTGTAACAATGATTCTATTCTTCAAAATAAGAGTTGCAAATAAGGACAATGTGAGGGAAAGTTAAGAAAAGAGATGCACACCTTTCCCGCACAGATTTCCCACAAACAAAGCAGGTCCACTTCCTCTTTCCTCCATGCGTGCACTCAATGTGCCTCTTTCTGTTGCCGGTGTCATTAAACTGGCGCCCACAAATCTCACAGGGAAAAGGACCTGAAAACGAGAAAAGACATCATTTTAAAGTTTTGAAGACATCTTTGACATTCATTTATGCATTTCATTTTAACCTGTAGGGATACTATTCTTCTCACCTAAGTGGAACTTCTCTTGGTGCTTCAGCCTGGCAAACCTGGACCTGAAGTATTCGTCGCAGAAGGAGCATTTAAAGGGCCGGTCCTGCGTGTGGAGGATCATGTGCTCCTGCAGATGAGGCTTGCGGGTGAAGGTCTTCAGACAGATCTAGTTACAAAGAAGATCAATACAATCATAATTTACTCTTTCATACATTTATTGATTTCATCATCGATCCATTCCTGGTCGGAAAATGGTTGGTGAAAATATTATTATTGTGTACACTTAAGACTGATATGGACTTTTTAAGCTTTTATGAGGCTAAATTACATTTTCCAAACAGTCCCTTTAAGTTTATCTTACATAATAAGTTCAAAATATGACAGAAATCCATTCTTACAGCACATTTCCAGACTTCACTCTTCCTCTTCCTCTTGGTGAGAAACTCTTGGATGTGGTCTGGATGAAACCTTGCAGGAGGAGGAAAAAACATGACATCATCATCATCATCATCATCATCATCTTCATGGTATAATTTGACCGACCAGTATGAACATTTTTGACATACTATACTATGACTTTCATTTTTATAATTTTAGACATACTATACTAGGGCTATTCAATTAGTTTGGAATGGGGCCGGTTGATGAAAATGATCCAAAGCAAGGGGCCGGGAAAACGATGGCTTGTAATGAGCAATCATATTAAGAGCTTCAGATACAGTAAATACTACAACAGCATAGTGGAGTGCATATATTGTGTTTAATGTAATGTCTTCCCCTCTATCTCTCAATTTAACACCCTCTCTGGAATAAAGGCACTCTGGCCCAAAAAAACAAAACTTTTTAACATGATACTCAAAGGGCCAGTAAATATCAACCCGGGGCCAAATTTGGCCCGTGGGCCGCAAATTGAACAGCCCTGTACTATACTATGACATTTTTTTTACTTTTTGACATGCTAAACTATGACTTTTTATTTAATTTGGAAAAACCATACTATGATTTTGTATTTATTTTCGACATACTATACTATGACTTTTTTATATTATTTGTTCTAGTTGTTGCACTAAACGAATCAAAAGTGCATTTCTACTGTGGAGGAATAATCTCATATTATGTAGATGATATATTTCATTGCGTGTGCGCTCTGCCTCACCTCCTCACGTGCTTGGCCAGGGTCTTCTTGCTGGCATGGAGTTTGTTACAGAAGGGGCATTTGTGCTCCTTCTTCTGGAAGGGGGCATCGCTGGCGTGCTTCTTCTTGTGGACGGTCAGGTTGGACTTGGTGGAGTAGCGCTGCAGACAGATGTCACACTGGAACGGTTTCTCTCCTGTGTGCACTCTGGTGTGACTCTCATACTTTCCTAAAACATGCAGGAAAGGTGCACAAGTTATTACATTGTGGGGAATGTATTGATAAGATCTCAGGGAGATCGTTATCGGGGCTGATCAAGGCCTTTTCAAAAAGAAAATATTTTAAATCGGATTGGTATCGTCTACTCTAGAAGGAGCCAATCTTATCCTCCAATACATTTAATCATGGGTTTTTACATGGGTTGCACCATTTGAAAAAGACGACGAAATACAATTGTCTTGAGTGCAATCAGATTCACAATATTTTAGGGATTGCACATTTTTTTAATCATAACTATTTGAAAAAAATATTAAAATGGCCATGGTATGCTTAAACAAAAAAAAGGTTTTGTATAGAAATATTCTTATTGTTGTTTGGGGCGTGAAAAGACGCGACATCCCCTATAAAAAGGAGCCCTATTCTAATCATTTTAAGGTTCATATTAGTATTTAGTTCAGGTTCAGGTTATTTATTTGTACCCGTAGGTAGATTCTGTTTGCAGAGAAAAAGACAAGGGTTCCATCCTGACACTAAAAACAAACACAAACAACAGACACATCTCTAATAAAAGGACTAGTAAAAGTACAAGTATACCCTGCTCAACCAAATCTCAAAATATTTTAAAAACATTTTAAGAAGGAAAACACTAGTACAAAAATGGACATTCAAAATTCACAATTAAGTAAATAAATAAAATAGGCATCTGTGTGACGCTCCTATGATGTGTTAATTTGTGCAATAGCTGCTGGGAGCAAACTGTTTTTATACCGCTTCGTTCTACTCCTTGGGACGAGTAACCTCCGGCCCGAAGGAAGAAGCTTGAATTCTGAGTGCAGAGGGTGGGAGTCACCGTCTAATATGGAGCTGGATAACCGCTGTCACTGCCTGAGGTACAGGGTCTCCAGGTTTAGCTGTGGCTCACCAATCAGTCTGCTGGACCTCTTTACGATCTGACTCAGAGAGTTTCTGCTCTTTAAAGTCAGGTTACCATGACATTAGTGAGAAAGACAGAATTGACTGGATAAAAGCACGATAAAACATCATCTTCATGGTTTTGTCAATGTTAAAATAGGACAATTTCCNCCCATGAATAAACCTCGTATTAGAAAAAAAAGATTATCAGATTATTTATATTTTAGTAACGGTCACAATACTATTATGTTCACACATACAACAACAGATTATTACTGTTTTTGTAATTATGTAAAGTGTCATTAATATTTAATTTTTTATATTTTTGCTAAAGGAATTTTTTTATACTAAGCAGTAGCCTGCGAGCACTGGGCGCGCCGCTCGGTTAAAACGCCGTCGAGAAAGGGAGTTCTTGCGATTTGCTTTTTCGAGATATTACCGGTCCGTTTGAATGAACTGAAGAAAGATTTTTTTCTTTATATTAAGTGTTCCTTCTTTCCTCCGAATGACAACCCTAATCCTCCTACAAATTTTTGGTTGGAGCGCAGAGGCGCACAGCAACATTCGACACCATTTAAGCATTTTTCCTTCCCTTCAATTCTTTGTGGTCTTATGTTCAATTTTGTTATTAGAACAAGAATTACTATGTTCGTTGCTTATGGTTTATGTTTCCTTCATAAGAAGGACGAGAGAAGAGGACAAGAATGAGAGACCAGAAGAAGTCGGACACCACTTCTTTTTCCTCTAGCTTGGTGGGTTTCCTATTATTGTGTCCAGAAGTATAATTTTGTGTGTCCTCCGTCCACACACGCACGAAAGGGGGTCTCCAGTAGAATAACCCTCTCCTGGTTTGGGTGTACCGGACAGCGTGGGTTAGTCGACGCTGTGTCGTCCTTCTTTGGGCCCTTTGTTTTTCAGAGAAAGTCCAACTGCTTCTGTTCTGGTCTAGGAAAAACCCACCAGACCTTGCTTGGACGAGATTTGTTGTTCCGAAAAGAGAATAGAATAAAGTGAGACCGTCGGTCGTGTGTTGTGTAGGGAAATACCGGGAAACCAGGGACAACAGGTAGAAGGGGGAGAGTCCAATGGTGGTGTTGTTCAATTTTCATACAAAATTGTATATCAACAATATCAACCCGACTTATATGCATTATGTACATTTAGTGAAAGTATAGTTATTATGGCTCCTTGTGTTTTGCTAATTGGATACGGAGAATTTCGTCATAATCTCTACGAAAAAGTTTATCAGGTTTGAAGGTGTGTCCGGATTATATCGTCTTGTGTGAGTAAAACAGGACGTCGGAAAGAGGGCGGCGTAGACTCGATAACAAGTGTAGAAATGAAGTTTAATTTTCAAAGTTGTAACGTAATAAAGGTCAAGGAAAATGTGTATGACAATATATTTATGTTTCATTATTGGTGTGTGTAGAGATAAACCTTTTGTTTCATCTAAAGGGAACTATTAACCTGTACCGACTTTTAGAAATTCTTCCTTACAATGGAGGGATCGAGAGAGCAGGGACAGTATTTCGACGAAGAGAAGAATCTAGGTGTACAAATCAGTAAAGAGGGTTACAAACATCGGTAAATCATGGCTGTACTTTTATTGTCATATACCAACTTGTCATTAGTGCGTCGTGTATATAAATGACGTTACTTTTGTGTGTGTAAACGGGATTCGTACACATTGCGGTGGGAGAAGAAAATACTCCCTTTGTAAGGTCTCAAAACCTCGATAGGGGTTTATTCCTACAGGGGACGAGTGTAGGGAGAGACTTGTGTTTCTGAGGTGGAGTTAATATAAACCCCTCCCTTTTATCATGAAACAGGGGGAAGTTTAAATTGTGTGTACTTATATATATTCCACTGTATTTACTATATGGTCTAAATTGAAAGGAGGTATTGTGCAATGAGAATTATGCAAGTTTGATTAAGTTTATTAGGAAGTTAACGTCTGTGGTTGGATGTTCACTTCGACGAATGATCTGATCCTAATGGTAGTAGTGTTCTCGGCGCGATTTCTGCAACCTAATTACGATCTGATTGCAATTGCAATCGACGGCGATTCGTTGGCAAGGGGATCGATCGAGTTCGAGTGGAAAGGTCTCCATACCTACCACCTCTCACACAGCCTCCTTTGGTTCTACCGTTGGGGCACCCGTATCTTACGTTTCGACCCCCTTTGACCCGACGTTTTTCACGACAAGTAGGTACAAAGCCTCAAATAGTCAGACCAGTTTTGCGTTCCTCCACACCACACAACCACACAGCACACACCCACAACACACACACACACCCGTCCAACGCCCACTACACCACTGGGCGTATTCTTTCAGAGTTTCCCTCGGTTCCAGGGTACTCTAGAAGGCCCGCTAGTTAACTGGCTCGAGACAGAGGATCTAGAATGCGACGAAGCAATTCATGCCGTTTTATTGTTTTTAACGTTGAAATGGCAAGTGCAACAGGTGAAGATGAAGTTGTTGCGGAATTGTTGTGAGTACCCTTTTCAAGATGAAAATTCAGTGAAAAGATGGACATTATAACAGCGATTGCGATTCGATTTGCGATATTTGTTTTTAAGCGACCCAATGGAAGTTCATTGTAAAATGCGGCCATATCTCTGGCTAGGAAGGTCGCATCAACATGCTCCCGTCTCTAGAACCCCCGCATCCCGAGCAACGATTGAAAGAACTAAACTTACATGAAACTTCCGTTGGGTTGCTTTAAAGTCAAGCTTCAGTTTAAGATTCACCCTGTAATACAAGGGTGGGGAACCTCCGGCCCCCGGGCCGTATACGGACCGCTAGACCATTTGGTACGGCCCTCGAGGTAATTTATAAACACACGCAAAAAAGAAAAAAATGTAAGAAATCTAGACCGCAAAAAAATTAAACAAGTGAGTGCTTGTTTTTCCTGGCCAAGGTCAGGGTCCTTGAACACAACACGAGCCTAACGTGTCATCACGTGGTATATGTCTCTGACAGGGGTGCAGTTCTGCCAGAGAGCACCAGAACGTCGCTCCGGCACTTCAAAAATTGCAGCATATCTGGATTAAGAGGTTGCTTTTTCGCGAAAGGCGAAATGAATGGGCTGTGAATTTTGTATTTTTAAGCAGAGGTCAAATAATTTGTACGGCCCTCGGAGGATGTTTCACCAAAACCATCTAGGAAAGCTCCATTGGAAGTCATTTGGAAAGGGCTCTTTCAAAAATACTTGGCAGGTGATTGGATCAATCTGTCTATCACCTACTATCATGGGCCACTTCTGATTGGTTAAAAATGGTTGGTACATGTGGAGCACAGCACTTCTCATTGGTGTGGATGACTGACACACAAGAACAAACAAAATGTAAAACAAAATGTAAAAAAAGAAAAGTTTTAAAAAATCGCCGGCTTTCCGATTTGATAATCGCATCATTTGAAATCGCGATTTCGATTCAAAATCGATTAATCGTTCAGCCCTAATAGACACGGTTCGTGACTGCAAAACACACACTACTGTTAATGAACATATTGTTGTCCACCTGGATGGGTGCTTTTATAGTCATTTGTGTAATATTAATCTCTAATATTTTATGCATGCCTTTTAATTCATATTTTGCCTCTTCACTTTTGCTGTAACAATGTAAATGACCCCCTCTGTTGTTATTCTGATTCTGTAGTATATTTTTACTCCACCCCACACACACCACCTGCTGCCATCCATGGTCCTTTCATATGTGTTGTTGCCAACATGAAAAACACATTACTAATGTACAACTCATTACTGCCATTAGCAGTCAGGGTATAATCCTTTAAATCAGGATTCAAACTAGTGGCTAATGGATTTGGCTCCAACTACAGTGTGATAAAAGATGGCTGCCATCCAATCAGAAGCCAGTACTTCTGTTGTGGTGGTACAGGTTTCACTAACAGCGTGAATTTAAGTGGATTGTCATTATATAACAAACATGCACAGCTCAGAACCTGGCAGCCACTTACACACACACAAACACACACACACACACACACACACACACACACACACACACACACACACACACACACACACACACACACACACACACACACACCCCCTCAGCTGTGGTGTAAGTCATCAGGCCAACAAGCTGTTTAAATATTCAGCCAGTGTTGCTGTGACAGCGGCCGCTGAGGAATTCATTAACATTTAGCTGCACCTGTTCCCTCGCTGCTCCTCATCCTGCTAATTGATTACAGCAGACCTGATTACTGAGGAGGGGGGGTAGACGGAGGGAGAGAAAAAGAAAGGGCTGAATTGAATAAATGTGTGTGTCGACCAAATTCCTCCATGCACTCTTCTCTCTCTCTCTGTGGTTGGCTGTCACAACACGCTTCATTAACTAATTAGCCACTTTGACAGGACAGAGTTTGATTTGAGGTCTCCATGGAAACAATACAGAAGTTAAATTAATGTTGGAACAACTCCCACAGAGACATAAAGAGGCTTCCATGAAGGAGTACACAACCTCCACCTCCACCTCCACAACCTCCACTTCCTTTACCACACACACTAACCAGTGGGAGGGAGTAGGCCTACTCCTCCTAAACTACGTTCACATCTGCTACAAGCTTTCTTCACACTGTTGCTAATATTACAAATATCAGTAAGTAAATATTTATATCATCATTCTACTCTACTGCTTTAATCATCACAGCCCGGTACTGCCAGGACGGCTACTACTGCTGCTACTACTACTGCTACTACTAATACTACTACTACTACTACTGCTACTACAACTGCTACTACTACTGTTACTACGACTGCTACTACTGCTACTACTACTGTTACTACGACTGTTAGAGGTTCAGGTTTTTTATTTGTACCCGTAGGTAGATTCTGTTTGCAGAGAAAAAGACAAGGGTTCCATCCTGACACCAAAAACAAACAGAAACAACAGACACATCTCCAATAAAAAAATTTTAAAAAAAAAAGGAAGTAAACCAACCAAATCTCAAAATATTTTAAAAATATTTTAAGAAGGAAAACACTAGTACAAAAATGGACATTCAAAATTCACAATTAAGTAAATAAATAAAATAAAAAATAGGCATCTGTGTGACGCTCCTATGATGTGTTAGTGCCTCTACTGGGACATGTCTCCCAGCTTTAATGTTCAGAAAGCTCTTTATTTTTCTCATACTGCCTGTGCTGCATCACCTCTTTTCACCCTCTGTCTGAAACCAGATGGAGGTGTATCAAGTAGAGGGGGGGAGTGTGTGGGAGAGAAACACAGGGCCTTGCAGACCATTGAAATGCACACAGACCTATACAATCAGGTCTGTGTGCACTATAGGAAGGGGAAAACCCAAAAAAAGCATTATATGGTGTCTTAGTGGTAAAGTTTGATGGACATTTTTCACAAATGTATATATCTAATAATAGAAAATTTGTTTGAAAAGGATCAACCTATTTAAAATTGCAGCTATATCCCTAAACCATGTAAGAAAAGATTAAGCATTTTAGTAATAAACCTGATAGTGACGATGATTGTGTTCAACATCTCCACCTGGTGTGGTATATGACTGTGTGAAACTAGAGGTAGAACTACTTCATGGTTCCCACCTGCTCGGTCGAAGGTCTTGTCACATTTGGGGCACTTGAGGATCTTCTTGGTGGAGGTTTTGATGATGACCGGAGCCAGACCTTCAGGATAAACTCGACTCTTGGTGGAGCTTCCAGCTGCTGCTGGTGCTGGTGCATGCACTTCCACCTCTCCACCCGCCTGCTGCACCACCCTTTCTTCATCTGCACCCTGCTGCCCTGCGCTCTTGTCTTCACTCTGGGTGACCACGGCCTCATTCATGTCTCTCTCCTCTTCCTCCACTTCCTCGTCCACTATGTCTCCTGGTTGAGATATCTCTGCTACGTCCAGTTTAGGCGCTTGTTTTTCCAACTCCAGCTTTCCTGCTTCTTTTATTCTTCCTTCAGCTCTCTGCACTACAGTCCTTTGTTTTTCCTTAGAAGTGGTGATGACATTGTCTCTCTGATACTTGGTGGGTGTTCTCCTCCTGCGAGCCGATCTGCGCGTAGTCGCCGCCGTCTTCTCTTTCTCAGTCGAGATGTCCTGCTGTGCATCAGTGTGACTCTCAGACAAGCGGCCCTGAGAGGGGTTTTCCATGAAACAAACATCACATGGGCTCTGGATGTCTGTGTCACTCGGAGGTGAGTCGATGGAGGTCATTTCCACCTCAGGAGACCCTCCTATCTCATCCTGAGCGTGTACCACACAGATTGGGTCCCCTTCCTCACACAGCAGCTTGAGTATATCCATCATGTCTAAGAATCGTGCCGCTTCAGCTAGATTCGGGAGGTCTGTCTCTGCAACAACGCACTCAGAGGTGTACAAAAAGTCAAGCAGGAGTTGGAAAACAGAGTCCTCCACATGGTCCAGAGTCACGTGCGCTGTGGCAGGGTTTTTTGAGAGCTCTGCGTGGAAATAACTGCTCCCATGAGCCAACACCACCTTGTGGGCGCTGTAAAGCTTCCCACACACAGACACCGACACGTCGCAGAACCTTTGGCGGGTTCGGTCTTCATTCAGGAACTTGAGGAGGTTGTGGCTGTGCTGGGACATGGCCATGTGCCTGATGTGTGAGGAGGATTCTGGGACAGTTTCAGAGTTCTGTTGGGCGGTGAAGCGCGGCACAGGGCCGGGCTCAGAGGAGAAGTCATTGCTGGTGCTGACCTGGCTTCTGCGCTTGGGACGCATTGGATTAGACGGCTTCTTCTTCATTGGTGAGGCTGTTGGGGGACCATGAATCCCTTCTGGAAAACAGCGAAATACAAACAGGGCTCAGATGAAACATGAAACGCTCTGAATGACTGGGGTTCACAGGTGGAAGAAGTACTCAGGCACTGTACTTGAGTAAAAGTAGAAGTACCAGACTGTTACAAGTAAAAGTCCTGCACTCAAAATGTTCCTCATGTAAAAGTACAAAGGTTTTAGCATCATAATATACTTAAAGTACCAAAAGTAAAAAGTTCTCATTGTGCAGATTGGTCCATTCCAGAATAATATATATGAAATGTTTTATAATGATTGATCATTAAAGTGTTCTCAAAGCTAGTAAAAGGTGCAAGCAGCTAGTTTGAATGACTTTGTATACTGCAGGGTAGCTTGTGGATTTACTCCAGGTGGAACTAAAGTCTGATTCAACGCTTGATTATATATCATATTATAAATCCAAATCAGTTAAGTAACTAAATTATTCAATTATTGTAGTGAAGTAAAAGTAAACGATTTAACGAATTACAAAGGAGCAAAACATTGAAATACTCAAGTAAAGTACAATTCTCTCACATTTTCACCTAAGCAGAGTACCCTACTTGAGTTACTTTACACCACTGCTGGGGGTTGGTTCAAATTGATAGGATTGTGATGTACAAGAATAAAAAATGGCTTAGCATGTAAATTGACCACACATTATTGGTATATTAACAGTAGGTAGCTGACACAAAGGGGTTCATTATGGTGAAAAGTTATCAAGAATGGGAAATTGTGCATGAAAATAAGCACAATAACGATTTAAAACATACGTGTGTGGTATATTTCTCCATTTTATTCAAACAAAGCAGAAAGGAAAGCTATTTGTTATCAACATTTAGCTCAAAAACTCTGACAGAGATGTGAAATGTAGCTAATAAATACATTTGCATACGCCTCTCCTCCACCTCAAGGACCCCTAACATGTTATCAGACTGGCGGACGGGCCCCCTCCGAGGAGAGTGTTGACAAACGACACTTACTGCTACCCCGGAAATACACTTTCTATATCGGGATGTTTAATTGACGTCCTACCTTAGAGAAACGAGCCGCCTATACAAAACACTGCAAAGCCAAGCCGACACACGTAACGGGGAAAATAAACGGAGTAATAATAATTTCCTGAACCGTGGATGTAGGTCTGCGAGGGCCCACTTTTGCATCCTTTAGAAATGTCCGACTCCGTAACAAACCGTTTTCCCATTGGCTGCTTTGGCTTTTGTCCTTAAATACTCCATAAAGCTCTCGTTTATATGTTTACAAGTTACATTTAAAATAAACACTTAAATAAATACAAATTTTTGGAAGTTCATTATCATATAAACGTATGAAAACTCAAACACTTAAACGACGAGGACGTGTTGTTGATAAGGTTCACGAGAGGGTTCATGAGACGAGGGGATCATGGGTAATGTAGTTTATGTTAGCTATGACAGGTATTACAGTCTGCGCTTTCATTAATTGTGTAGTTTTTTTTTTAAAGTATTTATATTTGACTTTTTACACATTTTAATTTATAATTCAACCACTTACTTTACCTAAGGTTTATCATATGAGTCTATTAATATGTGTGCAAATACATTGCACATTTTTAAGGCACACACAACATTCCTAATAAACGTATGTTCTAATATTATGATACATTTGCACTTTATTTCACAGTTTTATTTTACATATTGGATCCATGTCCAAGTCCTAATATACTGTAAAATCATGACTGCAAAACAAGTAACACTATAAAGAACAGTAGGCCTATTAGCCAATTGAACGCTCTTCGGTCCATTTAGATAAATGGTAATGACCTCAATGACGTTTTAATGACGGCGAACCATCACAGATAAGAACATGACTTCTTTCAAAGACTTTGCCACGCTCCAACCACATGCTGCAGCCAAATACTCAACAGAGGCCACAGTGTGTAGTACACGTGTTTGCATTTGCTTTTAATGTTTATTATCTCCATGGTTAAGTGTGTGTATTCTTAGCTGAATTTTGGGAATATTTCCTCCTCCATATCACTGAGGCTGTAATAAAGTGAAACTGGATTTAAGGTCAAGCTACTTCTCACCTCTTTAATCCCATTGGTGTGACCAGCAGACACTTATATAAGTGAACATCAGACTTCTTTCTACGGAGGATTGTTGAGGTTGCTCAAATTAGCTTCCTGAGTGAATCCCTCCAAACTAATTTAATGTATAAGACATTGTAAGTGCATTAGCCTAATCCCTCCGCTGTGTGTTACAACACTCCAGGCATTTCAGAAAACACAGAGAGGAGCAGGCTGAAGATGGAGCTGCTCACTGCCTCTGACCTGAGGTGAAGATCCTGACCAACAGCTAGTCTATCGGAGTTACTTGTTGAGGACAATGTGGAGATTCAGCGTGCTTGTGTGGACATTATGGTTGCTTTTTGCAGGTAATATTTGGATAAAGTGTACATGCATTTTGCTAAATGAGATTTACAATTATTTGAAGAATGTTTTTAATATATTTGAGTTGATAAAACTAAAGGTATGTTGTTGAAAAAGGGCAATTAGCCTGTATTTTTAGATTCTCACCTACGCAAGGGAAGTTAGTGATAACAAAAAAACATAAAATAATTATAATTACAACCTTTATTTAAAGAGCAAGAGATAAAGGTCAGATTGCTTTATGAAAATGTATAAAATAATTGAAATGCAACACATTCGAACTATTGTAAATTGACAATCCAATTAAACAAAAAGTATTTTAAATGAAAAAAAACAGACGATGAAGAGTAATAACAAAAAGAAAACAAAATATTAAAGCAAATAATACAAATAATAATGATATTTATTTAAAGCAAAGCCAAATTCATCACTTATCTTACCTCATCATGATCATGTTTGGAAATAACATTAAGTCTGTTGGAAAACAAGCTACAAACTCTAAATTATTTACATTTTAAATGTATTCCAACTTCAAATCAAACAGTTATTTGGGGTATTTCATTGTTTTTGTGGTTTCTAATCTTCATTCTGTAGGTGCTTTATCTCTACACACATATGTGTCAATGTGTGCTAATCTTATTGACTCTCATGTTTAAAACGACCATGCAGTCCAATTCGTTCATGGAATACTTCAGCCCCAAACTGACCATGTGTATATCATCTCACCCTTTGTTACCTTGAATTCTTGAAGAAAACTTTGTTTCCCTCGCATGCCTCCACAGTGAACCAAGAATTATAAAACTGAGGAAGGTCTTAATGAATGGAAGTAAATGGGGGCAGCAACACTATATCAAAACAGTTGTTTACAGACTCTCACACAGCTTTTGCAGTGTTATCCTAGTCTCATTTATCCAGTAGTTCATTGCTCAGTACTTCACAATCACATCGATTATCAATACAACTGCACTATTTAATCACTTTGGCACTTGCACAGACAAGTAGCGTACCTGCGTTAGTATTTTACTGTTTATGTGAAAGTGGTAAACACAAATCCCATTAACGTCAAATTATCAAGACATTTCTCCATTATCCATTATTGTCCTTGGTTCAATATGGAGGCATAGAACAGTATTTTATTGAATGATCATTGGAAACACTGGGTGAGGAATGTAGATACAAATGGTAATCTCAGGGAGATGTATTCTTTGAATGATTTTTAAGAACTCATTTCCATCTGTCCCTCCAGGCACTTTCTCCGAAGACGACCTCAGCAGTTGTGAAAAGCAGCCATGCCAAAACGGTGGTCTGTGTGAGGGCCAGGATGGCGCTTTCAGGTGCCTTTGCTCCCAACAGAGCCAGAACGGGCGCCTGTACGGGGGAGAAAACTGCACAACCGCACTTTCAGGCTGTGATGACAACCAGTGTGAGAACAGAGGATTGTGCTCCCCTTTACTTGTCCATGGTGAGCACACCTACACGTGCATCTGCCTTGCTGGCTTTACGGGCCCTAAATGCCAGACACCCAGCGTCTTCTCATTCGAGACCAAAGGCTACATTTACGTAGAGACTCAGCTTCTTGACCCAGAAGCTCCCCTAAATGTGACATTCAGCTTCAGGACGGAGAGACCCTACGGCACCCTGCTGCAGCGCAGAGTGGACGACCTTCTCCTCAGCATTGAGCTAACGGATGGGCATCTTGGCCTCCGTAGTCTTGAGGGTCAAGGCTCCAGCACTCTGGTTCAGGAGCTACCGGAGTATTTGTCCAATAACAAGTGGTACACGGTTGAAGCATCATTGGGTGGTGCGGTCAGCATGATCCAGCTGCTCTACACTGAAGAAAGCTGCACCAGGGCCTCCATCTCTGAGGTCCAGCTGCTGGAGCCAGCGCCTGCTCTCCCCGAGCCAGGGTCAGTCCGTCACAGCCTCTTCATCGGAGCAGTCAGAGGGAACTGGAGTTCAGGCGTAGGAGCCGATGAAGAAGACCACCCGTCTGCTTTTCTGGGCTGCTTCAGAGATGTGCTTGTGGACTCATGTCTGGTGTTGCCGTCTGCAGTGCATGATGGTTCAGACGCCCAGGTAAACGTCAGTGAGGGGTGCAGCGACAGAGACAGGTGCGATGACAGCCCGTGTCAGATCAGAGGGCGCTGCGTGAGCCAGGGGTGGAGGAGCTACACCTGTGAGTGCTTCAGGCCCTATGAGGGGAACGACTGTGCAGAGGGTAAGACACACAGAGGATTCTAACTGAGTACATTTCCTCAAGGACTGCATTTTAAAGGTCCCATGTCATGCTTTTCTGGTTATTACCCGTCCCCTTGTGTGTTATGTAGCTTTTTCTGCATGTAAACGGTCTGCAGAGTAAAAAACTCTCAGAGTACACCCTGTAGCGAGTAAAACTCTAACACAGAAAATACCTGCCTATGCTGCCCCAGAACGCCTCGTTGGAGATTTTATTTTTTCTTCCTGGTACCAAGTGACGTAACAACGACCAAATGGACCAATCCGTGGAGCTCCTCACACACACACACACACACACACACACACACAATCACTAAGCCGTATCTTTTCTCAGCCGCGATACTCCGCGGAGGAACAGTTTTCACTTTCTGTCGGGTGTCGTGGGACAGTTAGTAAGTTTGGCACGGCCCAGGAATAAACTATTGCACAACAAAATGATAGTTCATTTACAAATCGGATACATGCTACATATCTTACATGTATTGTCGTTTGTTTTCATAAGAGGCAGCTCTGAAAGATCCGTTCGTTGGTGTGTGCGTGCAATAGACTAGAGACTAACGGGTCTTCTGTAATAGATTGTCTACAAGATACTACTTTCGTGCTAGTGATGCACTGTTTTCAAAAGTCTTTGGGCAAAGATCAGGAAGCCATAAGAGGTCTGGTTACGATGACTTTAGTTAGATGATTGACGACAGACACCGTTAAATGATGACTGCCGAATGAAATTGTAGTAAAAAGGTACACCCGAATCCGGTAAAGGAACCATACCGACCATCGGATGGGTCGGTATGGACCGCCGGGCCGGTGACAGCATCATTACATACACATATGTGAGACGTGATGTACTGAACAACCTCGGCGGGGTGACACGAGACTACACACAACATAACAATCCGTTGCTCCTTACTGTGGTCAGTTATTTTCTTTTTGTCTACTCTGTACGACGCAACCCAGACCGCACGCACAACCGGCCCTGCAACGCCCCGAGCGACGAGGCGGAACTCTGAACTCCTCCGCCTGTCACAGTCGACATAATGACCCACAGGCACCAGGACAACGACGCTCTCGTCGCTCTGTGTTGGCGCTTTGATGTCGTACTTAGTCCCGGACTCGTGTGTGTGCACTCACACACCGCTTGACACTCACCTCTAGGTGCGACTCTTTTTCTTTCCGACTCGCACGG